ACTGTTACCAAATATCAAAATACCTCGTTTCTACTTATAACGAATCTCTCACCCACCCTTCTACCTCGAAACATCTCTACTTACTGTTACCAAATATAAAAATACCTCGTTCCTACTTATAACGAATCTCTCACCCACGCTTCTACCTCGAAACATCTCTACTTACTGCTACCAAATATCAAAATTCCTCGTAACTTCTTATAACGAATCTCTCACCCACCCTTCTACCTCGAAAGATCTCTACTTACTGTTACCAAATATCAAAATACCTCGTTCCTACTTATAACGAATCTCTCACCCACGCTTCTACCTCGAAACATCTCTACTTACTGTTACCAAATATCAAAACTTTCTCGTAACTTCTTATAACGAGTCTCTCACCCACCCTTCTACCTCGAAACATCTCTACTTACTGTTACCTTATAACCAATCTCGCACCCACCCTTCTACCTCAAAACATCTCTACCTACTGTTACCTTATAACCAATCTCTCACCCACCCTTCTATCTCGAAACATCACTACTTACTGTTACCTTATAACCAATCTCTCAACCACCCTTCTACCTCGAAACATCTCTACTTACTGTTACCTTATAACGCATCTCTCACCCACCCTTCTACCTCTAAACATCTCTACTTACTGTTACCATATAACGAATCTCTCACCCACCCTTCTACCTCGAAACATCAATACTTACTGTTACCTTATAACCAATCTCTCACCCACCCTTCTACCTCGAAACATCTCTACTTACTGTTACCTTATAACGAATCTCTCACCCACCCTTCTACATCGAAACATCTCTACTTACTGTTACCTTATAACGCATCTCTCACCCACCCTTCTACCTCGAAACATCTCTACTTACTGTTACCTTATAACGCATCTCTCACCCACCCTTCTACCTCGAAACATCTCTACTTACTGTTACCTTATAACGCATCTCTCACCCACCCTTCTACCTCGAAAAATCTCTACTTACTGTTACCTTATAACGCATCTCTCACCCACCCTTCTACCTCGAAACATCTCTACTTACTGTTACCTTATAACGCATCTCTCACCCACCCTTCTACCTCGAAAAATCTCTACTTACTGTTACCTTATAACGCATCTCTCACCCACCCTTCTACCTCGAAACATCTCTACTTACTGTTACCGTATAACGCATCTCTCACCCACCCTTCTACCTCGAAAAATCTCTACTTACTGTTACCTTATAACGCATCTCTCACCCATCCTTCTACCTCGAAACATCTCTACTTACTGTTACTTTATAACGCATCTCTCACCCACCCTTCTACCTCGAAACATCTCTACTTAGTGTTACCTTATAACGAATCTCTCACCCACCCTTTTACCTCGAAACATCTCTACTTACTGTTATCTAATACCAGTATAGCGACCTGCCCATCGTCCTACCTCCTATATCTATATGGTGGGTGCACAGGCACCAACCTTAATGACTATCTGAGATGTTGTCATAGATTGTTGATGGGTGGATCGCCAATTCGAGTTGTTTACAACATCTAGAGAAGATAGTAACAATTAATTAAAATGAAGCAAATAGCTGAATCCTAAAAAAATGAAACACAAATTCGAGTAGATTTCACAATTCAAGCTGAGTTTGAAACGATTAAACAAACACTGCTTTCTAATGGATATCCAGGTGGTTTTATTAAGTGCCATTGCCAGCCGCCTAAACCAGTTACCTTAGAAATGTCGGTGCCAAAAAAAACTAGCTGAACATATTCCACTATGGTTGGTAAAAGCAATGCAGAACACTAACACCTCAACAACAACGAATCAGGTGACTTGTCGAAATAATCCATCATCAGCAATTGAGTGCCATATTCTAAATTCCGGGCACATCATTTACAGGGATGATGCATTCCGAATTATTTACAATTCGGCTAACCGTAGATTACTTCGATACGCGGAAGCTTCAGCGATTGGCAGATTAAAACCGGAACTATGTAGGCAAAAAGAAATGGTCGTTGCCCTACGCTTACCTTGGTGAAACAGTTTAAAATCTACTCGAATTTGTGTTTCAGTTTCTAGGATTCAGCTATTTGCTTCATTTTAATTAAATGTTACTGTAGTTTGCACCTGATGAGATACAGCGAAATATGCCAAGCAATAAATTGTGCAGTCTATTGTTTGTGTCTTCTTTGTTCAAATTCACATCGGGGAAACATTGCTTTGATCTAGAGAAGAGGCTGGTCGAGTGTTTAAGATATCTCTAGGCTCTCATTCAAGAGCCTGAATGATCGGTGAGGGTAGGGATTACTTTCTGTCGGCGTCCAATTTAAAAAAAAATTATAACCTGCACAGTTTGTGGCAACAGCATTGGCCATGCTGCCTTGAATGCTCAGCACCAAGACTCCCGCTTTCTTACATCGCCATAACACAGGCAGACGGCAGTCGTTAGTTTCATAAGGTCATGTTGCCGCCCATTTTTATGTATGTCAGAGCCCATAAATGTTCATGTTGCCGCTCATATTTCTGTATGTTAGAGTTCATAAATGTTCATGTTGCCGCCCATATTTCTGTATGTGAGAGTTCATCAATGTTCATGTTGCCGCCCATATTTCTGTATGTCAGAGTTCACAAATGTTCATGTTCCCGCCCATATTTCTGTATGTCAGAGTTCATCAATGTTCATGTTGCCGCCCATATTTCTGTATGTGAGAGTTCATCAATGTTCATGTTGCCGCCCATATTTCTGTATGTCAGAGTTCACAAACGTTTATGTTGCCGCCCATATTTCTGTACGTCAGAGTTCATAAATGTTTAGGTTGCCGCCCATATTTCTGTACATCAGAGTTCATAAATGTTTATGTTGCCGCCCATATTTCTGTCTGTCAGAGTTCATAAATGTTCATGTTGCCGCCCATATTTCTGTATGTGAGAGTTCATAAATGTTTATGTTGCCGCCCATATTTCTGTCTGTCAGAGTTCATAAATGTTCATGTTGCCGCCCATATTTCTGTACGTCAGAGTTCATAAATGTTCATGTTGCCGCCCATATTTCTGTACGTCAGAGTTCATAAATGTTTATGTTGCCGCCCATATTTCTGTATGTCAGAGTTCATAAATGATCGTGTTGCTGCGCATATTTCTGTATGTCAGAGCTCATAAATGATCGTGCTGGCATCCATATTTCTGTATGTCAGAGCCCATAAATGTTCATGTTGCCGCCCATATTTCTGTATGTCAGAGCCCATTAATGTTCATGTTGCCGCCCATATTTCTGTATGTCAGAGCCCATAAATGTTCATGTTGCCGCCCACATTTCTGTATGTCAGAGCCCATAAATGTTCATGTTGCCGCCCAAATTTCTGTATGTCAGAGTTCATAAATGTTTATGTTGCCGCCCATATTTCTTTATGTCAGTGTTCATAAATGTTTATGTTGCCGCACATATTTCTTTATGTCAGAGTTCATAAATGATCGTGTTGCCGCCCATATTTCTGTGTGTCAGAGTTCATAAATGTTCATGTTGCCGCCCATATTTCTTTATGTCAGAGTTCATAAATGATCGTGTTGCCGCCCATATTTCTGTGTGTCAGAGTTCATAAATGTTCATGTTGCCGGCCATATTTCTTTATGTCAGAGTTCATAAATGATCGTGTTGCCGCCTATATTTCTGTATGTCAGAGCCCATAAATGTTCATGTTGCCGCCCATATTTCTGTATGTCAGAGTTCATAAATGTTCATGTTGCCGCCCATATTTCTTTATGTCAGAGTTCATAAATGTTTATGTTGCCGCACATATTTCTTTATGTCAGAGTTCATAAATGTTCATGTTGCCGCCCATATTTCTGTATGTCAGAGCCCATACATGATCGTGCTGGCATCCATATTTCTGTATGTCAGAGCCCATAAATGATCGTGCTGGCATCCATATTTCTGTATGTCAGAGCCCATAAATGATTGGCTGGCATCCATAATGTGTCAGGAACTGTTTCAGCGTCGGACACCAGACTAGGCATTGGTGATAATCATGATGAGTTTTGTTCTTGAACGGTTCTGCGCTCACTCTTTTGTCAAAACCAACGCAATGATACAGGCAGATAAACGGATTTAGTATTCCCTATGTGAGTTCAGGGGTCCATTTGAGGGTCGGAAGCGCGTTGGGTGGGGTAGACCCAGTTTTCCTCTGTGTTTAGGAGCCCATTTGAGGGTCGGAAGCGGGTTGGGTAGGGTAGACACAGTATTTCCCACCGAGCATAAGGCAAAAGCCCACTAATTCGGAATTTGTCAAAATTAAACGTGCTGGGCCGAAGCGTATATATATCTCAGCCTAGCTGTATACGACATTACGACAACAACCACCCTTTCAATGCGAATACAGAAAAAAAAAAAAAAGAATAAAGTATATTAGAGTTATGAAACAGCGTTTATAACCCGTTCGCCATAGAAGCTGACACAATCTGAAGTCTTATTTAAATAAATGATGTTACAGATTAGCCTGGTTTACTGCTGCCTATAGTCTTCCCTACTCCTCGAGTCACATGCTGGACTTCGCTGTCCTCGTGGACACAACTAGCTCTGACCACAGTCAGTGGTTCGTGGCCAAGCTCTGGTACGCCAACGTTGTCTATGACAGCTACCAAAGTCTCATTGATAGTTACGATTGCGGACGGTAAGTACTGCCTTGTTGTCCACTTCAGAGGCAGCTGCAGGAGCTCTTGTACTGAAGACCATTCACAAACGAATGCTGAAAGAAGATGACTTGACTTTAGGTGAAATAACACTTGTAAGATTGTGTAAACGTCGACTAGGTATGGATAGGCAAGGAGTGGCGTATGTGAGAAAGAGAACGACTAGTTTAATATCAATGTATTACGAGAACAGTTAAAATCTCCATTGACTACAGTCATCCTAGAGATAAGCCTGACGAATTCCATCGAAGCCGGAGTACATCTGCCCGTAAGGCAGGGAAAGGCAAAAGCCAGTTAAACGGTTGTACACGCAAAACTCAGGTCCGGGTAGAAGCCATGAGTCCAAGCGGACGATCAACCGGGACCTTCGTTTGGAATTCTCAGCTGGTGGACGAAGAAGGAGAAAAAGACATTTGCTGTAGGAGCCGGAGTATTTCAGAAGTTTTCTTTTAACGCATATTTTTTTATACAGTTCATATTATTTCGAATATATTATTATACATATTGCCGTTCAGCAGAAGATGTCAGATAGTATCTTCTTCTTCTTTAGCATTCCAAGCCACTGAGGTTCATCGCTGCAGATATCACCGGCCTCCTTTCATACCTCTGGTTGGCCTTCTCTTACCAGTTGGTGACACCAATTGTTAGTAAGTCTGTCTGGATATTATCTCTCCATGCTCTTATTGGTCTCCCTCGTTGTCTACGACAAAACAGCTACCGTGTGCATACAGTCCCCCCCCCCCCCTCTCTGTCATCTGACATTCCTAGCAGTTTCAGTCTTTTAGCTCTCATGATGCCAGTTATTCAATGGTGATTTCAACAGATTATGAATTTCGTTGTTGCTTCACATTCTCCATTTCCCGCTGTGTGTATCTTTATGGGTCCTAGGACTCGTGCTAGCACATTTGACAAATGTATTATAAAGCTGTATCTCTTTCAGTTGTACTCTTATGTATTATACAGCTATATCTCAGTTGAACTCGAAGTGGTAGAGCCATAAAAAACTGGTCTTAGCATTTGTTATTTTATTCTTATTGTTACTAGACAGAGCAGAGACTTTGATTCTTGCAGATGTAATAGGACAAAGTAAATGTACGCTCATATACCTTTCTAAATTCCAGTTTGTCAGTAATTGCATCATTATATCCATCTATCCACCTGCCTATTAATACACTCATCCATCAGTCTATTGAACCATTTATTTATCCTTGCTTGGATTCACCCATCCATCAGTCTATTGAACCATTCATTTATTCAGGCTTGAATTCACCCATCCATCAGGTTATTGAACCATTTATTTATCCATGCTTGGATTCACCCATCCATCAGTCTATTGAACCATTTATTTATCCATGCCCGGATTCACCCATCCATCAGTTTATTGAACCATTTATTTATCTATGCCCGGATTCACCCATCCATCAGTCTATTGAACCATTCATTTATTCTTGCTTGGATTTACCCATCCATCTGTTTATCTATTGATTCGACCAGAATTAACAAAACAAAAGTTACCCGACCAGTAGACGATGAAAACTTGTTTTCAAGCCTAAAACGTCGAGGCAAATTCCAGCCGCCCAACCCACAGCGGCCACCAACAGTTGTGGAACCTGATGGCAAAAGATACTCGGTCAAGGATAGAAAGGTATTCAATACACACACACACACACTCTCTCTCTGTCTCTGTCTGTCTCTCTCTCTCTCTCTCTCTCTCTCTCTCTCTCTCTCTCTCTCTCTCTTATAGGTGGGCTGCGTGCCCTCCAGACATGGTGTCCGCCTCGAGTGCTAGAGGTTCCGAGTTCAATCCCCGGTAGAGCTCGGATTTTTTCACGTGGACTTGGACTTCTAGTAATTCCCCCTGATCTCTGGGTAGTGAGATCGGACGCCTGTGTGCATTGTTGCGCGTGTAGAAAATCCCTTGGCAGTTAGAAATTGAAAAGAGTTGCCTAGGAGCTTCACGGGCAAAATTTGAAGTTAAAAATCTACCCAAAGTATTTCAGGATCCTAGTCTGTGCACTTTGCGGAACTTCTTCGGACTCAGACCTGGGTTAGAAAAAGGACGCAACATTTATGGGTTACTACCCATGTGCCATGATTGTCGTGAAATGATAAGCCCTTACGCATCAGTCTGTAAGACTGGTAACCTAACTTACCTGTAAATCTTCACAAAATTCAAACTTGGACTCGCCCGGAAAGATATAGTCCCTTATATCTATATATATATAGGCCTTTATTGAACAACATTATTATGGCTACCTTTTCTGGTTACTTTAACTAAACTCCACTTTTAAATGTATATATCTTTGATATATATTAAGGGAGTTATTTGAGGTTTCGTGGAAACCGATTTACTCCTTGCTCATGTATACTAGGGACTTCTTTTTGTACCAACGCCTGAAGCGTCTAAGTGACGCCATTCTTTTTGCCAGCTTCCTAGCGTCCAGACGTGTCAATCTATGCCTGTATCATTTCATTTTTCAAGGCAATCTGGAATGTCTCAGTTTTTACATATGCTTGGGTAAGTTAATTATAGTTTACGAGTACCTAAAATGATGTCTGTAAAATAGTCACTGCTGTAGAGAGATCAGTATCGGCTGTGTGATCACATTTAGTTCGACCGTTCTTGATCGCTAGAGAAGCAGATTCGAACGTAGACCTTCCCCTGTACAGACTAAATAGCCTTTGCCCTCAATAACCCACCCATACTGGTAAAACTTAATACCCTTACAAGTGTGCACTTTTTAAACTAACTATAGAAATTTGTGCATACCAAATGGGGCTAGAATTAGGTCAGGACTTTGTTAACCAGAGTATCGAGTGTGTTTGACCCAGATCAATGAATGCTAAGGCGGGCTTTGGGAAGTCTAGGGAATGCAGGTACTGACAGTAAATATTGGTGTCTGTGTGCAGAGGGAGGGGGGAGAGAGAGTGATATATGTGTTAGAACACTCTATCTATCTCCACTGTATATATGACTTGCCTTCTCTTGCACTAAACAGACAGATGAATTTAAGAGACTTGTGTCTCTTGGTCTGGAGAGACATTCTGAGGAATGAAACAGGAGAGCAGGGTGGAGTAAGCAGATGGGGGTGATGACTGATGCTTGTTCTGTCTTTCCTGTCAAGATGTTACCCTCTTGGTGATGACTAATTCTGAGTTATTTTCATGACAGGATAAATCCTTTGTGAGGAGCTGGCAGAAGTTTCACAGTCCAACCAACACCCACCAACCACCAATCAACCCACCATAAATCCAGAAACCACCTACCCACCAGCTAACACCTGTGAAGGTTCCTGACATCTCCAACATGTGGGAGATTGTACCTCAAACAGCTTACCAGTGCTAGAGCTTAGGGTAGCTCAAAGACAGTGTGTATTCTACTTGGTGATAGAGACTTGCTAAATACCAGTGCAGTATTGTGTCCTCGATGGTGAGGTACTCTCTGACTACTTGATCCAGTGGAGCAGATTTCCCAGAGTCAAAGACAGTCGAATCATCCTGAGCGGAGGGAGACATCATAGACAGAAAGAAGAAGCTAAGTTTGAGGCTTCATGTGCTTTTTTACATCACAGCTCATATGTTTCCCAATGATGACATATAGTCACCTCCAGGACCGGCTGTCTGTATAGTTTCCTCGGGATCTAGACATTATTTGTTGAGATTCTTCCACTGTTAGCTGGAATTCACTTCATTATTATATGTAAATCCATAATATACTGATTACATGCATTCATTTTCATGGCTGACTTAGGTTTCACTATGTCACCTTCTTAAGTGTTTAGCAGTTGTGTGTGTATGTATCTTCATTATATGTGTTAACATGGTTATGATAATGAACTATCATAACCTGGGGGCTTTCTTTAGTAAGTAGTGGGGGTGTCCAGCCAAGTGTGCCTAGAAATATTGTATTCATATACTGACATATTTTGTAGTGCCAAAACTTGAGTTGCCCTACTCCAGAGATAAGTTGAGCGTATATTGGCCACGGGGAATCCCTTAGACCAGTACGAGCCAAACGACTCAACATAATTATCTCTGAGTGCTGTTGGTTCTGAAGGAGAAATCCTTACATTAGGCACGCGACAGGAATGATATGTGACAATGATGTTGATCCGTTGTTTAAACCTCATACCTCAAATCTCTCTCTCATAGATGTGTGAGTGTGTCTGTGTGTTTGTGCGTGTGTGTGTATGTGTGCATGTGTGTGTATGTGTGTGTGTATGTGTGTGTGTGTGTGTGTGTGTGTTGGCATCTTTCCGTCTTTCCCAACGACAGTGCTTCATTATGCTATGTAGAGACATAGAACTCAAAGTCCATGGAACGACGAGATTGACTAGCAAGAACTCCATTGTTAGGAAAAGTCTTCCACAATTATAGCATAGGTTTTCAGAACCGTTGGTGCTACACCACATGTATTTAGTATGTCTCCCCCCCCCCCACCCACGCCCCTCAGACACCCAGTTCTCAACCTTTCGGCAATATTGTTTTCTTTTTTTTTTTTTGCTATTTCCTTCCAGATTTTCTTTCTTCGCTGAACACAGCGTATATATGTATATATATATAAGAAAACAAACTTTACAGGGAAGCATGTACAGCAGGAGTCTACCAATCATCAGTAGAAGTAACCTCTCGTCGACAAATGTTTCGGCCCACGAGCTCCTAGACATTTTCAGAGAGTAGGCCCACCTGAGTTCATGAGGCTCAGGGTTGGTTTCCTACTGCTGCACGTATAACCGGATGTTATCTGACACGGACAAGACGAAGTGGTGACTTTGCAAAAGGTACTGTGAGATACGAAGTCGTTGAGGTAGCATAACTAGAGCAGTCAGCTTACCTCGACGATCAAGTGGCAAGCTTACGTTTGGTTAACCAGACACATGTTGGACTTTGTTGGCAGATAGCAGAGGGACACTGGCAGACAATTCGGAAACGATGGACTTTCGGAGATAAGAATTTATTTTCCTCTAGATACCAGGACCAGCTCACCGAGCCTAATCCCCAACGATGTTTTGTTGCGTCCAGAGTCAGCTCGAGGCCCTCTCTGCATCCTCGCCCAGCTGTTTCTGTGCTTGTTGCGTTCATTTCCTCTTAAGCCTAGTTGTTTAATCACATTTTAAAGGGAAGTGGAAACGAGACCTCTTGCGCCTACTTCGACGGCCAAGATTCGTACTATGTACGCCTCGTCTCTCCTCAGACCAGCCGCTAAGTCACTGTACTTCTCGAGCTTGTACATATGGCTTTCGTTCATTCGCGACTCATACGGCACAGTCAGCTCAATCAGGATGAGCTGAAGTTTCTCCGCAGAATGTAGGACTATGTCTGGTCGCATACCAGTCTTCCCGATTAACTCAGGGTACATTTCATGACCAGGCAGGTCAACTGCCAGTAACCAGTACCTCGCACAGTAAAGCATCGATGGAGCGTATGCGACTTCGTTGAATTTACTTTTATAAATCTGCCCAGCCTTAAGGAAGCGCACGGGGACGACGGTAGGACTAGCCCTCGTATCGGCCCTCATCCTAGCTTAGTCCACAACAGCCGCTAACTCTTTCAGCACCTTGTTGTGGCGCCAAGTATACCTGCCCTGACATAGGGCTTTTCTGTACGCGTGGCAAGGCTCTCTCTAGGCCGATTCCCTGGCCTTGTTGGGACTGTTGCGTGGCTTTCTGGACCCGAACCTTGTTTTCGGTGTCCCTAATCTGCTGTATCACTATGTCTCGGCGCTCTTTGGCTGTGGCTTTGGACCACAAAATGGCTATCCCGTGCCCTAGGCCTCGACGGTCGGTTTGAGTGTATCCCATTATTTCCTTCAATTTTAGTGCATTCTGAGCAGATTCGATCGCATCTAGGACCTTCCATTGCAGCCCTGTCTTTAGAGCGGGCTGGACAGCAGTAACAATGGGGTCTGAAAACTCACGCAACAACATGGAGAGTCTTACTTTGCCGACTTTAAACTCTTCGGTTATTGATTTGAAAGGAAGTACTAGCTTCGTCTGTTTACAATACAGAGCCACATCAGTCAGACAAGGCGGTGCTCCTAACCACTTCCTTATGGCTGTGTTGATTTTACGCTCCATTGTCTCCACTGCAGTCATCGTCACTTCGTAAACGAGCAGCGGCCAGAGGAGCTTTTGCTTTTTTTCCTATTCCCTTCCAGATATATATATATACATATATATATATATGTGTGTGTGTGTGTGCGTGTGTGTGTATTATTGGCAAAGTGTTAAAGACCAAATTGTAACTGATTGATTTCTGCATAATTATAGAGTATTGAGCTTTCCTCTGAATAACGGTCCCAAATTATGGAGGCTGAAAATATACCCTAACAGGGCCTCAGTCACATGTAAATTGCGGATCTTTTCCGGCGACTACACAGCATACCGCGAAAAAGCTTCCGCCAAGTTAAAATAATCGCGGAGTGGAATATCCCGCGCCGCTACGCGCGGCGCCGAGCGGGGCAAAATCAGATGGCTGGGACTCACTAGCAGCAGCTACAGCATCTTATGCAGTTTCCTCCATTTTATTTGCTCGTGAGTCTCGGTCATCTAGTTTAGCCTCGCTCCGCGCCGCGTGGTATGCTGTGTAGTCGTCGGAAGAGGTCCCTAATTTACATGTGACTGAGGCCCTGATAGGGTATATTTTCGGACTGATAATTTGGGACCAATATTCGGAGGATAGCCTAGTATTGTATCTACTGCTATTTTAAAGACACAATTAAGGCAATCCTTGCAGTCATCCTGCTGCCCTAAACCAGCAGCTGATGCAATACCACACACTAGTGAGGAAATATCAGTTACTGACCTGTTCGTTGGTCTTACAGTGTTGACCACTACCGTATAAATGCAGTGAATAAAAATGTTCAAATAAGGAATACAGTCTTCACATACTACACTAAAGCTATACTTTTTATTATTAAATTAGATTCTAGTTATTGCTGATAGGTAGAATTTAGTGATACCCCAGGTCTCACTGATTTCTAGGGTAGTGGGGTAGAAAAACGAGTCTTCTGGGATAATCGCGAAAAAACGGGAGGAAATATCTGCAGCTATTCATGTTACACATACCACGACAGTTGGATATCGCCAAGTCTAGGCCAAAAGGATGTTGTTCTCTCTTATTTGATAGAAAATAAAATCTATGCCGGTGTATATACAGCCTACTGAACTTTGATTGTACCTGAGACAGCTGACCTTGGACTTATACCTGCTAAATACTGACTCCTCCCCTTCTGACACAGGGGTGTAGATGAAGAACAAGAAGAAGAAGAAGAAGAAGGAGGAGAAGAAGAAGAAGAAGAAGAAGAAGAAGAAGAAGAAGAAGAAGAAGAAGAAGAAGAAGAAGAAGAAGAAGAAGAAAAAGAAGAAGAAGAAGTAGAAGAAGAAGAAGAAGAAGAAGAAGAAGAAGAAGAAGAAGAAGAAGAAGAAGAAGAAGAAGAAGAAGAAGAAGAGAAGAAGAAGAAGAAGAAGAAGAAGAAGAAAGAAGAAGAAGAAGAAGAAGAAGAAGAAGAAGAAGAAGAAGAAGAAGAAGAAGAAGAAGAAGAAGAAGAAGAAGAAGAAGAAGAAGAAGAAGAAGAAGAAGAAGAAAAAGAAAAAAAAAGGAAGAAGAAGAAGAAGAAGAAGAAGAAGAAGAAGAAGAAGAAGAAGAAGAAGAAGAAGAAGAAGATGATGAAGAAGAAGAAGAAGAAGAAGAAGAAGAAGAAGAAGAAGAAGAAGAAGAAGAAGAAGAAAAAGAAGATACAATTATAGTAATAGTAATGGTGATGTTGGTGGTGATCTTGATGATAGTAGTGGTGGTAGAGTATTTGTAAAAAAACAAACATAATAATAACAAAGGTGGTGATGATAATAATAATCATAAGAAGAGGAAGAGTCTGTTTGTTGATTAGGAAACGTACGAAAGAATAAATGCGGTACAGAAACTCTCATCAAGAAACTGATTTCAGGTTAATTATTTGGACTGGAGCTTCAACTTCCGGCTCTCAGTCCTGACTGGACCAGCCGTCTATGACGTCAGATTCAAGGGCCAGAGAATCGCCTACGAACTGGGCTTGAACGAGCTCTCAGTGTTTTATTCTGGCCACGCAGCTTCTGGGGTAAGTTGTTATCGCCACGCCTGTTGGGGGAGGGGGGGGGGGGATAAAAAGTTACAGTGATAAAGTCAAATTGAATGAGAAAGACCTTCAAAAAAAGAATAAGAATAATTTTTCAATAATGAATATTAGAATAATATAAGTGGAAATAAGATGTGGAAGAAAGCTGGAATGACCAGAAGACAAAATCAGGAATGGGGTCACAAGAGAACTAACTCTAAATTACACACAAAGCCAGCATTAAAATGGTCTCATTAGTTAGGATCACTGTTTTGCGAGGCCATACAATACAAGGCATACAACAAAAGAGGAGAAGGATGTACAGTATAAGATAACGGAAGAACACGATGGAAAAAACAAACATCAGAGTAATAATAGGAGAAACTCACCAGGGAAGCATGTACAGTAGGGTCAAACGATCATTAGTAGCAAAGAAACTTCGACTTGATTGTTTTGGTCCATTATCTTCCTAGACAATCTCGGAAGGTGAGCCGATCTGGTTCATGAAGCCAGGCTTTGGACATCCCTGCTGCACGTTATCGGACTTTCAGACAGGGACAAGACGATATGGTGATTTAGCAACAGGTATTGTGAGATTTGGTGTTACATATTGTCGCCGCGGTAGCAAATGAGCCGACTACCTTCACGACCAGAGTGACAAGCTTGCGGTTGGTTCATCAGACAAACGTTAGACTTTGGCAATTGACAGACATACACTGGAAGAAATTATCTGTCATTTTGGCTTTTAGAGATGAAAAAGCTCTTTTCCACTAGAGACTCGGACCAGTCTACCGAGACTCATCTCCCTCGACGTTCCGTTGTGTCCACAGCCAGCTCGAAGCTCTTTTCGCTTCGCATTGTTGTTTTAGCGTTCGTTAATTATCTTTTTCTCGCAAGCACACACAGGTGCTTAGCATGTGGAAGTTATAATTACTCTTGCGCCTACCTCGACGGCAAAGATTTTTTCCGTGTAAGCCTCATTTCTCCTCAGACCAGCCACCAGATCACCGTACATTTTCGATTTTGTGTATGTTTTTTCTTTCATTCGCGACTCGTACGGCACGGTCAGCTCTATCAGGATAAGCTGGCATTTTCCCCGCAAGGTGCAGTGCCATGTCTGGTCTCAGGCAGTGGTCTCAGTCTGGTCTTTTAGATTCTGAGTAATTTTCAAAACGATGCAGGTCGACGGATATTAACTAGTCCTTCGCACAGTTAAGTATTGATGGAGCGTATGCGACTTCTTTGACTTTACCTTTAGAGATCTGTCCAGCCTTGAGAAACGGTAGGACGGTAGGAGAATACTACAACAGTACGACTCGTTTATGGTCGAGGCGGCAAAAGCAGAACTTTATCTCTCTCTCGACACCTGACACTGTAAAAAAAGGAAAGGGAACAGGAAGAATAAATCTAAAATGCAATATGTAATACACTGTTTATAACAATATACAAACACAGTATTTAATACAATATTCAACACAATGTTTAAGCTATTTTTATTTCTAGTATGATCAACAAACTGTAAAGTACTGCTACTCACAGATGCAGAGGAAAGAAACAGAGACAGAGGGACATACAAGACAACATAATCAACAGTTGCAGCTGTCACATGGGATATGGAAACTATTGTCTTCAAATGACTTAATGTTTTTTAGTTGTTTCTTAAGGTTTTTATTAGTACAGAAAGTAGTTTTTAATGGCGTAAACTCTTGCGTTGTGCCGATGACACCGTCTTGACAGCGACAAGTCAGAGATAAGTACGGTACTGGTAGAAAGCGATACAACGCCCCTCAGTTTAAATAATAGCAACACAGAAGTAATGGTGATTTCCACACACACACACACACACACACACACACACACAAAATGAATGGTACCTAAATAAAAGTCAAAGGCATATTTTTAGGACAAGTACAGAAATGTACGCACCTAAGCACATGGGTAGCATCTGATGGAAGATGTATCACACAGATAAAGACAAAATAGGACAGGTCAAAACTGCATTTTATAGAATGAACAACATTTTATGCAATAAACCCTTATCGTTGCGGGTAAGGTCAAGAAATTACTCATGCTATAAAGAGCCGGTTAAAACATACGGCTATAAATCTTGGACTATTAATAAACAATAAAAAAACCAAACAATATCATGAGGCCTCGGAGATGTGGCTTTACAAAAGAATCCCTAAAATTCTTTAGACAGCAAAGAGGGCAACCCAGATGTTTTGAAAGATGTGAGTGTTCGAAGACAACTTATCACAAACACCAGAAAGAGGCAGTCATAATTTTTGGTCATCTTAAGAGAAGAATGAAACTGGAACATGTTGTGACCACTGGAGAGATTTGTGGAAAAGACAGAGGAAGACAGCGCGAGAAGTTTCTTAGCAGCCTTTGGTCGTGGCATAGAACAATGTCAACACACGAACTGACGCACGCAGTTTCGATCGCGGATTATGGAAAGACATGATCGCCCACACCAGTCGACAAGGCACCGGATGTTGATGATTACGGTATGATAATGCAGAAGAAATGAATAATGGCCAAAGATGGAGTCCGCCCTGTTACACCAGAGCAGATATTATCAACGCTGTACGGACTAGGTCGGTGGGTAATGACGAATCCCTGACACTAACACCATTGGGTGCCTGGGGAGTAAAGCACGGCGAAGTATGTCTATGTAGTCTTCGAGGTCGAGATAGGGCGCTTTATTAATATCTTACCGCCCAGATGACGTCACGAAGTCCAACATTTTAGAGGGTATTTAAGACTGGGTTTTTCGGCTTTATGACGCTTTTAACGACCCAAACATCTAGAACTGGCCCTAACTCCAACCTACCTACGTCCCACAAGAGAGTGCAGCCTAGGTCCCACGACTGCATGCAGTCCATCTACCAAACCCCTGAAATATTGGATTCTCCTGAGACCTGTGGATTTTTCCTGTTTTGGGGTAAGATATCGATAAAGCACCAGAGATGGGAATGGGCTCTTTATGGGAACAGTCAATGGAGGTACCCTGGAGTTGCTGTCGCACCGGAGGACGGAGCTGGCATGTTCTGTGACGTTGATTGTGATGACACCCAAAAAAAAAAAAAAAAGTTACCAGATAAAAGAGGCGATGGTGGCGACCCATTTCACGACATGAACATGTCTAGTTGTCTAGTTTCGTTAAGTGCTCCTTTAACAGCGAGAATGTTGAATGTTTGTGTGACTCATTATGTAGTATAGTCTCGGATCACATAGAGACTGGCGCCGTGTTTCAGCAAACGACCAACTATGTGGACAGTGGCGAGTATTTGGGCATCAACTCTAGAGCACTGGTTCCTGGAGGTGACTGTCCGGAGACAGCAACTTTGATTAATTCAGTAAGTGTCTGAAGATTACCTTCTGTAGTGACTAAAGTACACACAATGTGGGGTTTCTAATGTATAAAGAACAGGCTGACAGATCGGCTGTTGTTACTCCTCTAGGCGGTGAGCTACTTTATGGCAAAGTAAACTAGGTTAGGCGCCCTGGCATCAAATGGACAGTGCAATAGAACAGACATAATTCATACAATGAACGACAAATTACAAGGGATTTCTTCTATCACACATGCGTTTACATGATGGACTTTGACAAGTGGTTCTCTAGACACAGAGGTACGGGTGGTTCTCTAGACACAGAGGTACGGGCGGTTCTCTAGACACAGAGGTACGGAAGGCTGTCTAGACACAGAGGTACGGGAAATTCTCTAGACATAGAGGTACGGGTGGTTCTCTAGACACAGAGGTACGGAAGGCTGTCTAGACACAGAGGTACGGGTGGTTCTCTAGACACAGAGGTACGGGTGGTTCTCTAGACACAGAGGTACGGGTGGTTCTCTAGACACAGAGGTACAGGTGGTTCTCTAGACACAGAGGTACGGGTGGTTCTCTAGACACAGAGGTACGGAAGGCTGTCTAGACACAGAGGTACGGGTGGTTCTCTAGACACAGAGGTACGGGAGGTTCTCTAGACACAGAGGTACGGGTGGTTCTCTAGACACAGAGGTACTGATGGTTCTCTAGACACAGAGGTACAGGTGGTTCTCTAGACACAGAGGTACGGGGAGTTCTTTAGACACAGATGTAGGGGTAGTTCTCTAGACACAGAGTTACGGGGATTTCTCTAGACACAGAGGTACGGGGAGTTCTCTAGACACAGAGGTACGGGTAGTTCTCTAGACACAGAGGTACGGGGAGTTCTTTAGACACAGAGGTATGGGGAGTTCTCTAGACACGGAGGTACGGGGAGTTCTCTAGACACAGAGGTACAGGTGGTTCTCTAGACACAGAGGTACGGGGAGTTCTTTAGACACAGAGGTACGGGGAGTTCTCTAGACACGGAGGTACGGGGAGTTCTCTAGACACAGAGGTACGGGTGGTTCTCTAGACACAGACTTAAAAGATGGGATAAGGGTTTTTCTAATACCACACTAGGAGGGGGTGGGTGGGGTGTGTTCTGAGCCACCTTGTCGTAGTGGCTAGGCGCTTGCACGAGGATCGGACGGTAGTGGATTCACTTCTTTTCAGAGCCGGACTTTTTTTTTCATAAATGATTTTAGCTCCCAGGTCGACCCAGCCTTGAGTGGGTACCAGGTACAGTCCTGGGAAGTGAAGGCGGTCGGCGTGTTGCTGATCACATCAGCCATCTTGTGCCTTGGTCTATAAAACAGCACCATATACCAAATGCTGAAAGGCGTGGAAAAGGTTCGTTTAGTTTAGTATATTCTGTTTTACTACAGGGGCGTCATCTAAAGGGGTATGAGTAGACTAAGCACAGGGGATTGAGTTTTTCTAAAACTACAGTGGTGGGGACGGGGGTTGGGGGGGGGGGGGAGTCCTACTACAGGATCGTTTTCTACAAATGAAGGGGATATAAATGATTACAGGGGATGATCTCCGAGGAATTAATTGGTCGTGTAGGTTAGTGCAGGATGTTCATTGAGTGGATACAATTTGTGGGTACAGCAATGATTGAAGTGGGGTATTTCGTAAGTGGGATATGTAGGCTGATTACCTGTTTTGTTTTGTTTAGTATTGAATTAGTAATGTGGCTTATCTGTGTTTGTGTGATAATTATTTGTGCTAGGTTAGTTTGGAGATACCTTCAGTTGCGTTGGCTACAACTACCACTACCACCACCATCACTGCTAATAATACTAGTAACAGTAGTGGCAGCAGCAGCCGCAGCAAAACAAGCAATATGCAATATACAAAAAAGAAGAGAAATGAGCAGGGGAAGGAGGAGGAGGAAGAAGAAGAAGAAGAAAAAGAGGAAAAAGAAGAAACAGAAGCAGAAGAAAACGAAGAACGAGGAGGAGGAAGTGTAAAAGAATAAGAAACGGAAGATGCAGAAGAGGGAGAATAATTAGAACAAAAATTACATGAAGCTGTAACGAAGTGCTTCATTTCCCACAGGCGTTCATGTCGATCAAGAAGCGAGAGCCAGAAGTCTACAAGGCTGCACAGTGTCTGTTTGAACACAACAATGGCTACCCACTGAGGCGACACCTGGCATACCGGATTGAAGAAGGATTATTCTATGGGGGAATGTTAGACTATGTGCTGACACTCAGGTATGTCTACTCACATTCAGGTATGTCTACTCACTTTCAGATATGTCTAGCCCCACTCAGGTATGTCTACTCACATTCAGGTATATCTACTCACACTCAGGTATTACTCACACTCAGGTATTACTCACACTCATGTATAACTCACATTCAGGTATATCTACTCACATTCAGGTATTACTCACACTCAGGTATATCTACACACATTCAGGCATTACTCACACTCAGATATGTCTACTCACATTCAGGTATTACCCACACTCAGGTATATCTACTCACATTCAGGTATTACTCACACTCTGGTATATCTACTCACATTCAGATATTACTCACACTCAGGTATGTCTACTCACATTCAGGTATATCTAATTACACTCAGGTATATCAACTCACACTCAGGTATGTCTACTCACATTCAGGTATATCTACTCACATTCAGGTATTACTCACACTCAGGTATGTCTACTCACACTCAGGTATGTCTACTCACATTCAGGTATATCTAATTACACTCAGGTATATTAACTCACACTCAGGTATGTTTACTCTCACTCAGGTATGTCTACTCACATTTAGGTATATCTGTTTACTCAGGTATATCAACTCACACTCAGGCAAGTTTACTCGAACTCAGGTCTGTCTACTCATATTCAGGTATATCAACTCACACTCACGTATTTCTACTCACTCAGGTATATCTACTCACACTCAGGTATGTCTACCCACACTCACATATGTCTACTCACACTCATGTATGTCTTCACACACTCAGGTATGTCTACTCACTTATGTATGCCTACTTACACTTAGGTATGTCTACACACACTCAAGTATGTCTACTCACACTAGGGTATATCTACTTACATTCTGGTATGTCTACCCACACTCAGGTATATCTAGTAATTCAGGTATGTCTGCCTACACTCAGGTATATATACTAACTCATGAATGTCTACGCACACTCCGGTTTGTCTACTCACACTAAGGTTTGCCTGCTCACATTCAGGTATGTCTACACACACTCAGGTAAATCTACTCTCACTGGGGTATGTCTACTCACTCTCAGGTATGTCTACCCACACTCAGATATGTCTGCTCACACTCAGGTATGTCTACCTACACTCAGGTATGTCTACCCACACTCAGATATGTCTATCTAAGATGTTGCAGGTGTTAGTGGGATTCAATATCTGAGGACCAGTCAGGTGAGAACCTTAGAACTTGAGCTAGATTATAATACTTTTGTGTAACACGTTTTCCAGATCTGCGCTGACTATTGGCAATTACGATTACATCATCGATTTCATCTTTCACAACAATGGAGTTGTAGAGACCCGGTGGATGAGCACAGGTGAGAAATGATTTTTGAGTACAGGGGGAAATGATTGTTCAGCAGAGGGGGGAATTACTAATGAGTAAAGTGAGAATGATGGGTGAGTACAGGTAAGAAATGATTAATGAGTACCGGGGAGAAATGATTATTAAGTACAGGGAAAAATGATTGATGAGTACAGGGGAAAATGATTGATGAGTACAGGGGAAAATGATTGATGAGTACAGATGAGAAATGATTGTTAAGTACAGGTGAGAGATTCGTGAAGATTGGATATTTCTTTCCCTGTCTTCAGTTGATGCATGACAATGTAGATGTAGCAAGAACGCTTTTGGAGCAAGTGAACTAGAAGCACAAATAGAACAGTTTAGTCTAGAGAAAATTGTACATGTAGGAGTGACCAAGGGATCGACACTCTTCCCTCAGAGCCACATGTAGATATGAATGGTCTATAGAGGGTGCTACAGCTAGGAGTGACCAAGGGATCTGGTCGAGACTCTACCCTCAGAGCCACATGTAGATATGAATGGTCTATAGAGAGTGCTACAGCTAGGAATGACCAAGTGATCTGGTCGAGACTCTACCCTCAGAGCCACATGTAGATATGAATGGTCTATAGAGAGTGCTACAGCTAGGAGTGACCAAGGGATCTGGTCGACACTCTACCCCCAGAGCCACATGTAGATCAGTATGGTCTATAGAGGGTGCTACAGCTAGGAGTGACCCATGGATCTGGTCGAGACTCAACCCTCAGAGCCACATGTAGATATGAATGGTCTATAGAGGGTGCTACAGCTGGGAGTGAACAGTGGGTCTGGTCGAAACTCTACCCTCAGAGCCTCATGTAGATCAGTATGGTCTATAGAGGGTGCTACAGCTAGGAGTGACCCATGGATCTGGTCGAGACTCAACCCTCAGAGGCACATGTAGATATGAATGGTCTATAGAGGGTGCTACAGCTGGGAGTGAACAGTGGGTCTGGTCGAAACTCTACCCTCAGAGCCACATGTAGATCAGTATGGTCTATAGAGAGTGCTACAGCTAGGAGTGACCAAGGGATCTGGTCGTGACTCTTCCCTCAGAGCCACATGTAGATCAGTATGGTCTATAGAGAGTGCTACAGCTGGGAGTGACCAAGGGATCTTGTTCTGTTCTACCATGTGCAGTCAGTTGAATATCATCGATGGAATCCGGTCCAGCAGCTTTGACCTCTCTCATCAATGTTCGTCTTATGGTTTCTTTTTCTGGGCGTCCACTTCTTCTTTAAGCTTTTATTTTCTATTTTAATGTTTGGTGATTCTCTGCTGGTCTCTTCTGAGGATGTGTCCAACGAACCGCCATCTTCTCTGTTTTATAAACTGTTGATGCTAGTGGTTGTACAGACATTTCTCCTATTTTTTTCCATCAGAGAAATATACATATATGAAATACAACTGTTGACTAAAGCTAGAAATGTCTAATGAGGTTAGATAAGTACAGGCTAGAGATGTGTACAGGTGAGAGGATGCTTACTTCCCGATGTAAGCATAGGAACGATAAATTTCCCATTTACGCACAGGCAAAAGTAAGAGGATCAACTTCATTGCAACGGGTTGATGCTATATGGCTCAGTCTCTCGCCGCTGAAAAGCTAGCTGCCTGTCGATAGCATTGCACAGGCGACCTCCATAGCTTCAGCAACGATTCCCTGGGATCTACTTAAAAACTGCACTCGTGTACTGAATGGCGCTGCCGTAAAACGAACACAGGACTTCAAGAGCGGGAGGCAGACTGCTCGACCACTTCGCTCCAGAGACAAATCCCCCCCCCCCCCCCCCCCCCCCCCATTTAGACACACTATTCTGTGTACCTTTATTTATTGATTTCTTTTGCTCACCTTTCCCGCAGGATACATACAAACTCTGTTCTACGCAACAACAGAACGACCATACGGATTTAATATCCGCCAGAACATACTAGGGAACGTCCACCATCACATGGCTCACTTCAAAGTTGACCTTGACGTGGGCGGCACATCAAACAGATATGAGACTGTAGACATCTCGGAAGAAAGGGTCGCTATGACAGCGGTAAGCTATCTGTTACACGATATATAGAAAGGGAGTTTTACATATCGTTAAAAATAAAGTAAATATGCATATTTAATTTTCTCATTTGTATTTCAGCAGAGAAATGAATTTTAATTTTGGGGGGGGGTGGGGGGGGGGGGGGGGGGGGGGGGGGGGGTTTGAACAATGGCTTATTTTTTGCAGACGTGCTATAGCAGACGTCGGTGTCTAACCTAATTGATGCCAAGGTGCTTCGTAATTCTAAAGTGTAGGGTTTGTTTGCTTCTGCAGGCGATCTGGCAGCAGACAACCTTGCGTTTTTTTCAAACAGTTGTAACGAGAACTGATCGTTCAGCGAGCAATGTCAAACTACTGAATGTAAAAGTCCCTTGTCGTGAAAAAACAAACAGCTAAAAAATTATGCGTTGGTTCTTCAACGTCCTTTAAACGATAGGTTATTATCTTCTTTAATGTGAACAGGCGTATGCTCATTCTCTGAACTTACTGCATAATGTTTTCCATCTGATCCAGTTCCCTGACCTACAATATTCTCAGACGAGGATCAAAACCAACCTGAAGAAAACAGAACTGGAGGCTGTGCACGACTTCAACTTTAACAAACCTAAGTATCACGTGGTACACAACAACGCAAAGAGAACAGACACAAATGAAATCAAAGGATACAGGTAGGAAAAACTTGTCGCTTGCCCCTATCGACATCCTAGCCCATCTGTATGACCTATTTATGCTCCGTCCTCCCATTCAGCAGCCATACCAATGTCTCCATACGCACCGGACCATCAGGGGTTGATTATCAGATCTTCGGTGTTTGCCCTATGGCCGGTTTATGATTGCTTGACCTCGTTCAATACCCACTGCCAACAGGAATTTCATCTCCTTTGACTCCTTTTTCTCAAATGAATGAGTGAATGAATGAATTGATTTCACTGCTCTCGAGACATTCCCACACGTGCTCCGTCTCCCTCTTCAGTAGCCAATGAAGAGTCGACATGCTAATAGTACCAGTTGCAACCTGACTGAAAGACCACCTACATTACACCCTTAATGATGAATATCCTCCAGAACTGTTTCTTATCACCTGCCCTCCACCGTTGAATTAGTCTTTCGGTGTATGGATTCTCGGTTCTAATGCACTGTTCCTCTGACCCCCAAAAGCCGTCACCACATCTGCTTTGTCCTAAAGCAGCTCACCGCACATAGAAGCGGCAGCTAATCTATGTCACTCTGTTCGTTACCCCGCACATCTGAATATCCTGTACACAAAATCTATGATATGCTTCTGATCTGAGTCTTGTCACGGGATACATGCTACTTTGTGAGCATGATTGAAATTGAAATGCTTCGAAGCGTGTTCTGTGAGTCTGTTCAATGACAATGCTTGAGCCACGGGGAAGCTGCCATCACTGCCTTCACCTCCATACTCAAACTGGATGCAGTAACGTCGTAAGCCAGGCTCTCTGTTTTCAGACAGTGTCCATTCATCGAGCAGCGACTGGCCGAAAGGTTAGAGGGCTAGGCGGGAGATTCGGGTTCGAATCCTCGGTTGGCGTAGGGATTTTTAAAAAATCTATTCACTATCGCAATGTCTCTTTTCCCAGCGTCTCTGAAATGCACCACATTCAGTATGTCTGCCTTGTCCATACTTCTTTCTCCACTAATCACTACAGAAACGGCCAGTCTGTCGGCCATTTCATTTCCTGTTAGCCCGGCGACGGTGACCATGAGACTGTTTTACATCTTGTGTGGTGTTTGTATTATTTCTGATGTGCAGGTCAGGGTAGAAGCATTGTCTTTAGCACCAAATACCTGCCACCCTTGGCATGAACACAGTCCTTTACTTCCCATTTTCAGTTCCAGTTCTCTGTCAGTCTGTAGCTCAGCGCAATCTTTCATTGACACGGTAACACATTTAAGGGCTTTTAGAGTACCCAAGGAGACGCCTTCGCATACCAGTTATCACTTTATGGACACCTTAGTTAAAACCATTAGGTCATCTTTGCTTCGTAGAACATAAATCTAGGGCCCCTTTCAGGCTAGGTAGACGTGGACCAACAATCAGTTACTAGGCAGTGATCTATTTTCTACATATGTCCTTTTTTCCAGCCACATACATACTTACATGTTATCTTCCTCATCCACCTATCTTCTATCAATTTTGTCCTCCATTTATCTTAATCTAAAATTGATCTTATCTACATTCGTTCTTCTCTCATTTATTTTCCCATCCACACACGTCATTTTATCTCTGTTATAATCTAAAAAAAGCTCTTCTATCAATCTCTCCAGCACATACATATTTTTCAATGTCTCTAGCACATACAGTCTTCAATGTCTCTAGCACGTACAGTCTTCAATCTCTCCAGCACATACACATTCTTTAATGTCTCTAGCACTTAAAGTCTTCAATCTCTGCAGCACATACACATTCTTCAATGTCTCTAGCACGTACAGTCTTCAATCTCTCCAGCACATACACATTCTTCAATGTCTCTAGCACGTACAGTCTTCAATCTCTCCAGCACATACACATTCTTCAATGTCTCTAGCACTTCCACGCCTTTATGCTTATAGGGCATTTAGGGCTAGACCTATTTTTTAATAGAATAATCGGCACAAGATGGGAGATGGGGTCAGCATCACGATGGCCGCCCTTACTTTCCGGGACTGCACCCGGTACCCACTCAAACCTGGGTCGACCTGGGAGCCAAGGTCATTTTTGAAAAAAAATCTGGTTCCGCCAGGGAGCAAACCCACAACCTTCCGATCCGCGGCGAGCGTCAGGATCTTCTATACACGCCTCTATTAGGCTTGAGACTGAGCGTCATAGAAGCCGACACACAGTTGCTGGTCACGGTCCCAAGTTTCCCAACGGTGGGCAGTGGATTACATTATAGTGACAGTAGCTGCGTTCACCTGACAAGTATGCTCAATTGTAGGAAGCAAAGCAATCGCCAACTACATTTTTCAGAATGCTAAGAACAGTTAAGATGTGATAACTTACAGAACTTTAAAGGCACGACCTGATCTGTGACTCTCATCTTTGTGTAAAATAGGGAAACATGACCCCCTGCAGGCTAAGCGGCAGGCGACACGATGAAGCTGTGATAAATATTTCCATTTCCTAATCTATACCAGCACAGTTTTATAATTAATTATTTCTTGACATGTGAATGCTATTTTATCCGCAGAATTCAAATGAATTGCGACTCAGAGCAACTCGTTGCCGAAGATTTTGGTAACGAGAAAACCGTGTCCTGGGCCAGACATCAGATGGTTGTCACCAGACAGAAGGATGACGAGATCTCCTCCAGTTCTATTTACGGCATGCACGACAGTCTGCAACCAACCGTGGACTTTACGACATTCTATAGCGACAACGAAACTATTGTTGACCAGGTATGTGTCTAACAAGATGTTTCATTTTATTGACGTTTTCAGTTGAGTGCTTCACCTAAAAGACTTCGAGGTTTCTAATTTGGAAGCAGATGAATTGTTAGCAAGCCGATTTGAGTGAGTGCTTAAGTGACGTTCAACCCGACCAGGACCTCATACAGAGCATAAACAGCCGGTGACATAAAGTGTCACTATTCGGACAAAGATCACTCAGGGATAGGTCTCAGAAACCCTGTTTAACCGTTAGGTTATATTCGGGTCCCGACCATAGCCGGGATGGGGCTTTAACAAGAAAAACAATGCATCCCTTACAGGCATGGCATAGTTTAAATGAAATGGCTTGCAGCTCTAGGAAGAGGACATGCAACAAATTATACAGACCTAACTTCCGGTATCAAGAAAAGATATGAAACCAAACGAAAAATATACCAGCAAGCTTCACAATATAGTGAGCACAACATGAACGTTGCGGCTGCGGAGTCTTCATCAGCACATACATAAATAAAACAAAACTACACAAATACATAAAATCACTTAGCTTAGCATCTAGAAGCAGCTAGCTCGATGTCTTGTCGGTAGACTGACTAGAAACGTGGGACATGACAATAAATATCGCCGAGAAATTCCAGGGGACGTAACAGGAGGGTTTTAGAGAAAACTGTGTTGGCAGTTCTACCCCGTAGGATATTAGAGGAAACTGTGTTGGTAGTTTTGTCCTTCAGGTGTTAAAGTGCCCAAAGTGAAAGCAATTTTCAAGAGACTTGCGGATTCTGTCGCTGGAGAGGCTTTATTCGATGGCTGTCACTTCCGTGTCGTGGACACATGACGCACAAATAATGGTATTCTTTAGTCCATAGATGCTCGGGATGCTGAATGTCAGCCAACTTCTTGGATCTTTTTGAACTATTGTAAATAAGTGGATTGAGCTTAAAGATCTTACAGTAAAATTTGAATTTCCGGTTCTGTTTTTTGTCAGATACGTTTCTGTATAATACAGTAATATTTGGAGTAAATGTTTTGTTATCATTTATGTTCAACTGAGCTGAATTGAGCTAAGTCTAGAAAGACATCATAGCCCTTAGGGCATTCCCATATGTGCTCCTTCCCCATTTTCAGCAGTCAGCACAGAGTTCCTATACTAATGGTACCGGTCGCACTCTGATTATGTGTCCATCTTGCCATTCCTTTGAGTGTAGTGTGCCGACCAGGCCCTCTGGTCACACCCAGGTGTATCAATCTCTCCAGGCCCTCCGGTCAGGCCCAGGTGTATCAATCTCTCCAGGCCCTCTGGTCACACCCAGGTGTATCAATCTCTCCAGGCCCTCTGGTCACACCCAGGTGTATCAATCTCTCCAGGCCATGATATTCTATTTTTTTCAGATTTCATTACTTGTTACAAAAAGGCATTGACCACATCTGCTCTGTTATGTATCAACTAACCACTCAACCCAGTGTTGCAGATCGATCCAATATGTCTGCTCTGTTATGTATCAACTAACCACTCAACCCAGTGGTGCAGATTGATCCAATATGTCTGTTTTGTTATGTATCAACTAACCACTCAACCCAGTGGTGCAGATTGATCCAATATGTCTGTTTTGTTCTATTGCAAACATATCCCCAATGTTAGTATTTCTCTTCAGTCCCCACTAGACCCCACGGTCTATCTTAACTTCACAGCAAATTGTTTTATGGTTGACACATTACGGGCTGATGATAATGAAGCACTCATGGGAAAAAAAATGGTTTTAATCATTCCGAATCTGACGATACCAAAAGGTTGATAATTGTTACTGCCTGGACAAATTGTAATCCATATCGGTGCCAGTACTCGTCTTCTTCTAGGAGCACATGTTCAACACACTTTTTTTTAGAAGTACTTTTGGAAATGTCGATACTGCACTGTCATTTAAATATTAGCTTCAGTTTCGGAGAGTAACAAGTTGATTTGTCTCTGATATTTTTAAGATCTCACGTCGAATGATATTTACATCAAAGTCGTCAACTTTACTTTTCCGTCCTTGCTCGACATGAGTGCATCCTGAGTCTTGACTAATCCAACGTTTAAATGATGTTTTATCCAGACCAAGCGCCAATCGTGTAGCTTCGTCTGTGTCATGAATATCCCAACATTAATGACCCATCTTAGATTCCCAGACCCTCGTGTGGGTTCCGGGGCCCCATTGTGGGGAAAACAAGAATAGACCCTCTGCCTACCCAAAAGCATGTCGTAGGAGTCGACTAACTGGGGAGCTTCCTTTGAAGTCGGAGTGCATCTGCCGGAGAGACAAGGAGCCAACAGTCTGTATTCAAGAGAATGAGATCTGTAAAACTGATGCACACGCAACATTCAGGTTCTGGAGCAGGACTGCAGTTCAGTAGTGGACGAGCAACCAGAACTTTCCGCCAGAGTGTACAGCTGGTGAATGCGTGAAGAAGAATCCCAGAGGAAGTGCTCGTACAATCAAACGGTAACCTTTCTTATAGTTATCAATTTGCATTTCAAATTTATGTTGAAACTGATGTCAATGTCACCTTCTATAAGCTAGCTACATGACATAATAACTCAACACTAATTTGTGCAAGCGTCTTTGACTTAACTACCTTGACCGACGTCTTATTTCGGCTTTAGGTCACTAACAATGCGACTTTGCACGAGAAAATAAAAATGATCTGCATCTGTGTTTATGTATTGTTGAACGAACTATAGTTGCTATGGTTGCACTCTGAGTTGACCAAATCAACAGATAGTCAACGTGTACTGTGTAGAATAAAATCCTTAACTGTGTCCCTATTTGCAGGACCTGGTATTCTGGATCACGGCCGGCTTACATCACATTCCCCGCTCGGAGGACTTTCCTGTGACCCCTACGGTTGGCAACCAACTGAACTTTTTATTGCATCCTTTCAACTACTTCCCAGAATGCCCCTCCATGGGGTCACGTGATGCCATCTACGTTGAACATAAAGATCCTGATCATCACGAACTTGGGGTCAATGTTGAAAGGTATGTAACAAAGAGTTTATTTAAAGGTTACTTTCAAGATAGACTCCCCAGTGAAAGAAGATCACGTTCCATTGATAACTGTTGGACTAGTGTACTTTGCGGGTGTTCCGCTCTGTTATTTGCTTCATGGGATGTATTGTATATATGTTTTTTTTCCGAGAAAGAGAACGCCTGTGACATAGGTTTCAATACTCTCTGAAAGGGTTTTATGTTAGATCCAGTTTGTCGATGTTTTCTGGAGTGTTGAAAGCGCTGGCATGCTGAAATATAGAACACTCGATATCAACAGCATTGGGTAATACCCCGATTACCTTGTGCCAAGGACACTTTGCAAAGGTCGACCAATCAGAAGTCAGCTAGACTGAAGGTCGACCATTCAGAAGTTAGCTAGCGTTTAAAACTATGCAAATGGGGAGAGAGTGATATTACAATTACCTTTTTAGATATTATTGAAAGATCTCGATAGTTGTGGATTAGGGGTTTGTAATTTCGATATACCCGGTTCGCATGAAGGCGGGCAATAGCTGCAGCAATGAACTCTAAAGGCTATTAATGTTGAACAAGAAGACAATGAATTCTGACTAATTAGGAGCCGCCCTGATATAGTAGCAAGACGCTCCCTATTATTATACCGAACAAATTGTGTGTTTTTTTAAATGGTACAAACATCTCTTTATTAAAGTAGGGACTTCCATGTGAAACATAGAACGAACAGTCATCATCATCATCATCAGGTGTCTTGCCGACTAGCGTGGGCGATCATGCCTCTCCATAATCTGCGATCTCTTGCAGCATGTATCAGTTCGTGTGCCGACACTCCTCCATGCCATGCAACAAGACTGTCAAGCATCTTCTCTCGTTGTCTTCCTCTATCCCTCTTTCCACAGATATTTCTAGTGGTCACAACATGTTCTATTTTCCCTCTTCTCATAACGAACAGTGGAAATGTTTATCACAAGTGACCCAAGCGGAAAAAATGGAGATAGATATAACAATTAGTGACTGGTATATTTTCATTGTTATTGAAAAAAAAAATTAATCTTTGGTCTCCTAGAAATGTTCCAGTAGAAAACGAGCAGAGCACAAAGTGCATAGTTCGGAGAGGTTTACCATTTGCATAAACAAGAATAATGCGGTTGTTGGACCTTCTAAATGTTTATTGTTGGCTAATATAAAAGGAAAAAGGCGTTGGATAGGACACACACTGAGAAAACAGGAGAGCAACATAGCTAGAATGTCTTTGCATTGGAACCCACAGGGGCATAGGAATAACCGAAGGCCAAAAAATACATGGAGAAGAGAGCTGGAGAATGAGGTTAGAAAGATGGGGAGGACATGGGACGAGCTCCATGTAATGGCAAAGGATAGAACGACTTGGCGTGAGTTGGTTGAGGTGCCTATACTCCATTGGGGGATAGAAAGACTGAAGAAAAAGAATACAAAAGAAAACTATCAGAACAGAGTTCGCTAAGCCTACATTCTACAGCTGCACCTTGTAAGAAACACGTGTAACGTCCCTGGTGAATGCAAGAGGAAAACAGATGGTTAAGCAAATATAGCATCACGTAACTTATGAAAAGACAAATATATTGAAGACGCCAACAACAGATCAAGCAGATGTAGCAGTAGAGACAAAAGTTATTCAGGAAACAGATGAATTGACTTATTGAGGTGATAAAATTTCTGGCCAGACATTTAAAGACAAATGCATAATGAGATTCCAGTGGTTGCTAGTGTCATTGATAATTTATTGAGAATGTGTAACACAGGGTGTGTCCTGATCCTGAGGCTATAGGGGCTCTTTGCTAGAGCTGTCGCCACGTAGGGTAGCATTCTATCTTTGCTACAAAGAGAGCTGAGTTGAGTTGAGCCGAGTTCAAGAACCGACATCACTGTACTCGGTGCATTCCATTAACGAAGATTTGGAATAAGAATATTACAAGTAGAAGTCTGATTAAACGTCCGTCTTGCCTTTCATCTGAGCGTCAAGTGTCGGCCAGATCCCCTCGTCCCTCTTCACGGCATCAGTCTCACCAGACTGTGATGATCCATTTGCTCCTTAGAATTTACCACAGACAAAAACAAAACAAATAACAATGAGTCAGCTCACGGAGGATTGGAACCCTGGGTGAATGAGAGCCTCACGTTCTCAAATGCTGAAATCAAACTTTCCAAACATAATTAAACAGCAAGTGTTGACTAATGTAAATAGATCTTCTTCTTCGCGATCACCGACTTTAATCTCCGAAGGCAAGTTCTGGCTGTTCGTTCACTTCTGGACTTTAGTCGTGTTTCAAAACCTCAGAGTTTCATGCACATCCGTTTTACAATCTGGTTTTTGTGTGTGTGCATGCATACTGGTGTTTCAGTTGCTTGCCTATCAGGCAAATGCATTCCATCTTCAAAGGAGGCCGCATTTTAGTCGGCTCTTACGACATGCGTGCTATGGAGGCAGTAGCTCTATTCTTGTTTCCCCAACGTTGGGGAGCCGACACTTACACGGGGATATACAGATATCATGGCGCTTTGTGGTACATGGCTTCTAATTAAATCTTTTTGTTTTCTCATTACAGAAACGGAAACTCCAGGGAACAGTGCGTCATCCCCAGATCAACGTTGGAAGAAGACTTGGCCAAAGACCCGAATCAGATTCTGCAAAGCTGACCACCCTGTATTACTGCTGACCCCAGTCTGTGAGACGACCAGCAACTTGTATACTACAATGTTGTCTTAGCCAGTCGCAATAAAATGAATACTTTGTCACAAAAGTCTTCATTTGTACATCAGTCTACCACAAACACATACACGTCTACACGCACCATAAAGAAAACACAGCATACACACGTCTACACGCACCATAAAGAAAACACAGCATACACACGTCTACACGTACCATAAAGAAAACACAACATACACGCCTAGCAAGTGAGATACATTGTTATATGACAGTGGTTCTCAAACTTTCTAGTGTCGTGACCCTTTAATACAGTTCCTCACGTTGTCGAGACCCTCAACCATAACATTATTTTCGTTGGTTCTTCATAACTTCAATAAATGTGTATTTCCCGGTGGTCTTAGGCGACACCTGTGATAGGGTCGTCCAACCCCCAAAAGGATCACCACCCACATGTTGAGAACGCCATTCTATGACATTTAAGTATAAATCAAGCAAGCTACTGAAATCAGATCTGTTAACAAACAAACAAAAAAGCAGATATTGCAGCCAGGCAGAAAACCACAACGTAACCTGCTAACTGCACTTTTAGAGTGAGGGCAAAAGAAGAAAACATCAAGCAAATACAGCAGACCAATCTCGCAAGCAAGATACGTTGTTCTATGATATCAATACTTTAAAAAAATCCATCTGTCTGTCTGTCTGTCTGTCTGTCTGTCTGTCTGTTCTGTCTGTCTGTCTGTCTGTCTGTCTATTTCTCTCTCATAAGAACTCCAAAACGGTAAAAAGTAGAGGGATGAAATTTGCAGATCTCTTTCTAGCTACAAATGTCTATTTCAGCTGTGCTATTTGCAACAAGGTTTCTACTATTTATGACAATTTACTTAAGTCACTAAAATTATGCATACGGTGTTTTCTCCTATGTGCTGACCCACTCGACAGTAACTTCTGGATTTACTTCCTTTGGCAGTACCTGATTTGTGTCCCCTGGCATTGCAATGTAACAGATAATAGGTAGCCGAGCCAGTGAGCGCCGGTTGCTTGGTATGCTGATATGTTATAAAGTCTCAGGCCGTCATTGACTCCTTCAATACATATTCGTTTAGGTCTCCATCTGCGTATTAGTTTTTCCATTTCCATGTTGAACACTTTCGCCGCCAGCAACTTTTGAGTAATTCTCACTATACGAGAACCATTTCAGTCTTTCTTTTCTAATCTATTTATGTTATCACAATCGAGGTTACGGCACATTGGGCATTTCCATGACAGCTCACTTCTTTGATAAAGCAGCAGCCTCGAGGTACCTCTATTGGCTGTTCCAACGAGGAGCTAGGTATAATAATTTATATCTCCTTCTCTGAGGCTGATTGGGCAGGCTTCACCGTGCTTTACTCCCATGTCACCCAAACATGTGAATGTCAGAGACTCGTCATTATCCACTAACCTAGTTCCCACAGTGTTGATGATAATTTATTTAATAAGGTAAATCGTTTCAATAGACATTTGACTGCTCAGGGCACGACATTCGTCTACTGTCGCTTGACATGCACCCATATTGCTATGTGGTAGTGAATCATGGAAAGTGAACACACAGGAAGAACGTGGAGGCAACAGAGATTGATTCCTCAGACGAATGTTAATAATTCCTTAGACTGCCGAAATAACTGACGAGGATTGCTTGAAGGAAGCTAATAAAAACAGTTCAATGTATATACAACTGTAAGCATATGACAATAGGAGAAAAAAAAACGAAAAGTATATCAGCACTAAATAAAACTCTAGCACTATATAAACTATTGCACTATATACAACTCGAGCTTACTATATACAAATGCAGCTTACTATATACAACGACAGCTTACTATCTGCAACTCTAGCACTATATACAACTCCAGCTTACTATATGCAACTCTAGCACAATATACAACTCCAGCTTACTATATGCAACTCTAGAACTATATACAACTCCAGCTTACTATATGCAATTCTAGTAATATATACAACTCTAGCACTATATACAACTCTAGCACTATATACAACTCTAGCTCGCTATTTACAACTCCAGCTTACTATATACAACTCCAGCTTACTATACACAACTCTAACACAATACAACCCCAGCTTGCTAACTGCAACTCTAGAACTATATACAACATAAGCTTACTATATACAACTCTAACACTATATACAACTCTAGAACTATATACAACTTAGCTTACTATATACAACACTAGCACTATATACAACTCTAGCACTATATACAACTCTAGCACTATATACAACCCCAGCTCACTATATACAACTCTAGCTCGCTATATACAACTCCAGCTTACTATATACAACTTCAGCTTACTATATACAACTCTAACACAATACAACCCCAGCTCACTATATACAACTCCAGCTCGCTATATACAACTCCAGCTTAATATATACAACTCCAGCTTACTATACACAACTCTAACACAATACAACTTCAGCTTACTATATACAACTCCAGCTACTATACACAACACTAACACAAT